AGAGTATATCATTCTTTCTTTAAAGACTCATTTATTATACTGACAAGATATTATCAAGATTTTATCAATTACTGTAGATATTTAACCTTGAAATTGCAGCACCATTCATATGAAGTGATTTTAGTTGATTGTTATAGATTTCTTATAGATACTGTTATTCACTTCTTACTTTCACTAGAAAATACTTTTAATAGAATCGTTTCTATTGTAATGATTCTTTTGTCGATTGAAATACCTTTCACTTATGTTGACGGAATAACTGCTGTTCAATCCTGATTTCCATGAGTTCTTAGCCGAAAATTTTTGAAAGAAATCTTTTTTCTTTTTGAATAGTAGAAGACTAAAAAGGAGTTCTTACTATTACAAGCTTCAAGAATTCTATATGAGCTTGATATTGTGTATCTTTATAGAACTAAGATAACAAACTACTTCTTAACAGTAATTATTACTTAGCTAAAATATGAGCGCATCGGTTTTCACTGATCAAATCAAGAATTTTGACTAGCCGATTCAGTCCGGTTGAAAAAGTAAAACCAGTCGATGCAGTCTGGTCTGAAAAAATCTGACCGATTCTAAACATGGATAGATATCTAAGTGCTCTTTTCGAACGTTTTCACCTTGTCATTATTTTTCGACATATTGGTAATATTGACAAGACAACAAAACAAAAATCATTTCGACCCTTTACAGAAGTCTTTTGAAAGACTGCAATCATAGTTCCTTCTAAAAATAAATAGATCAAAGTTTCATGCACAAATTTGTCCCTTTGGTTTTGAATAATGTTAAATAAGTTTATTCTAGGTTTCATTTCCCCTCTATTGTATAATTATTCACAATTGTTGACAGTTCAGTGTAGATAATGTGGATGAATAGCACATTCTAACTTCAAAATTCGTTCATGTCAATGGTTACTACAGTGGGAAAATCCTAAGTTTTATGAAAGTAGTGTTTTGCGTGTAATCATTTAAATGATAGCACGTTAACATAACATGCCAAAAAAGTTTTCATCGTTCTATAGTGAATTACTACAATGATATTAAGTAGTAAAATTTATTGTTATGTTACTTAGATTACGTTATACCGTAGGTAGAGATATATAGATTTGCTATGTTAATTGTGTCTTATGTATTCTTTCATTCTGTTATGAAGGTAAAAATTCAACGTATTTTTTTATTTTCTTTATTTCCATATGTTAAAATATATTGTCGAAATAAAAATCATAAAATATATATTTATTCTATTGAAAATCTGCATTCAATCAAATAACATTTTAATGTAGCATGGAGAACATTTATTTTGAGATAACATATATCCTTGGAAAGCAAAATTTATACATTGTACTTTGAGTGTATCATTACTAAAACAACATATTTTTAAAAGACTGATACCATATTCGGAAAGGACATGAAATCCTCCATCACCCTGTATATTTATAATTTAATTTTCGCTGTTGAATAATCAACATAAATTGAGCATAATGAAGACAAGCTCATATCTAGATTTCTATTGACACAGTTTTGTTACTCTTATCAAATGAAATTTTTTTGATTTTGCATCATCGTAGAAGCATTGTTTTGGAAGATTAATTATATATTATGATGCAGAGTTTCACACTTTATGAACACATGTTGCCCTTTTTTCCCAATTTGCGGATGCTAAGTTATTTTTATATAAATATAAATGTCATTGTATTGAAAAAAGTTTCTCTACACAAATCTATACTTCGATTTTTCTGAAAATAGTGTTTGATGCATTTTAGCATATTTCCAGGTCGAAAAGTACTGACCGGTTCCAGCAGGAAAACACTGAAAATTGCCGGAACACGGCAGCAGTATTCCGGGCAGAAAGTTTTCGGATTTTTCCCGCAACTTCTAGACAAATTCCTCCACGAAATTGGGAAATTTTGACCGAAAGTCGCCGGAAAAAATCCGAAGATTCACCGATCCGAATACGGCCACCCTGTTCCGACAAGTTGCGGCATTTTCCCGCAAGATACAGTAAATTTTCCTTCATCTTCCTGTGGGATCCGGTGAACAGAATCATCGATCAGGGTTGCTTCACACAAGACTATTTGCAAATGATTGTATAGTACTTTGACTAATTTCATAAGATAGTCGTATTCGTTAGTATCTACAGAGAAAAATATTGACCAGAATCTTTGCAATTCAGTAGAGACTGAAAAGGGTGTGGGTGTGGGTGTGGGTGCTGTTTTTCTCTATCCTAAGACTCACACCCCTCTACACCCACATCCACATCCAACTTCAACTACAACTTCAACAACAACTACAACTACAACTACGATCACAATTTTAACAGCAACTTCAGCAAGAACTGCAACCTTGCCACCTATAATTTATCACGGAGGCCCTGTCATGAATAATCCAATTATTTATATAATATGGTATGGTAATTAGAATGGAAATAATGGAACGTCAATTATAGAAAAATTTGTACAAGATCTCTGTTCTACTTCCTGGTGGGACATCACTAGAGCTTATAATAACACAGCAGCAATCGTCTTCGGTGGATCAACTATAGATAACTATTCGCAAGGGAAAAATCTGACAGTTGCAATGATTTTTGCTATTGTGGAAAATACAGTTATTTCTTCAACGTTACCGAATGACACCAATGCACTGTATCTCGTTGTATCCTCTGCAGATTGCACAGAAAGAAGTTTTTGTACGGAAGCATGTGGTTGGCATAATTACCAGCTTCCGGGTAACCTGAAATATTCATGGGTAGGAAATCCCGAATACTTCTGTCCAAGCGCTTGCTCTGCACAAAGTGTTTCACGGGATGGTAATCTAGGAGTAGATGCAATGGTTAGTGTTATTGCTTATGAAGCCACTGAAGCGGTTTCAGATCCATCTTTGAATGCTTGGCTTGACTCTGATGGTGAGGAAAAGGTTGATAAATGTACATGGACATTTGGGAACGTAATGCAAGCATCCCATGGTGCAGATTACAACATTCTTCTAAACGGACTTAATTACTTGGTTCAGCAAAATTGACGATTACCTACTCAAGATTGTGGTTTGTCTTTGACGATTTTATCATAACAATTGACCCATTTGATATTGAACAGTAATGTGCGAACCTTAAGTTTTTGATCTCAGTGTTTCCTACATTACAAAACGCAGGAAAAGAATGAACATAGCAGTATATTTATCAAACATAAAGAGTTCTATTTTCTTTACGTGCTTTTCAAAATATACTATAAGATACACTAGACGAAATATTAATGACAATAAAGGATAATTGAAGTTTTTCATGTTGTATTATGGACTGCTATCATACAAAATAATTAATCAATCAAGAAGCAAACAAACAGAGTAGGATGCAGTTGTGATGTAGACTAAAACAAAAACTCGATCTACAGTGATTTCAATAACGATACCTACTTATGATTCTCCAGCACTCAAATATGAAGTGCGTAAACGCTTCTAAACAAAGAGATAGAGTGAATCCATGGGAAACGTACCACTTTATACATGACTTTCTCAGAATTGGCTGAAACTTTCAGCGTTTGTAGAGCTCAATGAGCTGATCATTTTGATAATAAATTGTTAGAGATTTGATTACGGATTAGGGTTGAAATGAGCAAAATACTGTTTTCAGAAATTCCCAAAAATCACCATCAAAGTAAAAAGTTCTGCTTTTTGCAAGAACGTTTTCTCTTTTATTTTAAGATCAAATTGAAACATCCTATACATATTCTGATAGCTCACACTCAGCTCTATCGCACCATATATGAACCAAAACCTTTTCGCTTTTTAAGCAGTATTTTTAATGAGACCGCAATAAATTCACTGCTACACAAACTTCCTTCCCTAATGAAAAACTCCTTCCGAATTTGGGTGAATTATGATCTAGTAGGTTTTGTAGAGCGTCACTTGCTCTATCTTGTGGTATATAAAGGTTTGCAGCCGGTTTCCATTTTCGCGAATCAAAGGGTTAAAATGTTTATCTACTACTGTTTTCTGAACAGTACAGTTCAAATTGTTGGACTTTTCACATGAAAAACTCAATAAACTAATCTGAAACCTTAAATTCAAAGAAAAATCAATTATTAAAATAAAAATCATAAAAAACTTTATTAACTATTATCTTCTCTTTCGTATCATTCTATGATAGAAAAATGTCACAAGTCAGGTTTGAACTATTGATTTTCGAAATTTATCGCTTTTTTATGGAAATTATAGTTATATCGTATTGAGATAACATAGCTATCTTAAAGAACTAGTTGCTCATTTCGAAAAGATTTCGTTCACTTCCATTTTAATAATGGAACTCGAATGTTTTCGAACAGTGATATATGAAAAAAAATCAATGTTACATTGTAATATTAGTTCTCTATGAATAATATGAATATTGACATGAAATAAATATATTTACACGCTTTAATTCAATTATCCTTTTATTGTTATTGTTGTTTGATGATGGTAAAAGAAAAGAACTTGAGAGCAATCCTTAAATCTAACATACTTCACAGAAAATAAATTAATTCATGATTAATGCTTTTACTTTAATATACCAGAAAGCTTAATTCGGGAATGAATAGATAACATTTGATAGATGGCAGTGAACTATTGGTTTTAGAGTATATTAAAACTGGGCAGCATAGAAATGGAGGTAATATCTGTTGAGGAGATTGGAGAGAATATAGATGAATATAATAGAAATAGTATACTTTTGAATCGAAAAGTTTGTGAACAGTATCGTCGAATATCTAGTCTTCATCTGAAGAAAATCGTTTTATTATGACTAAGTCCAAGAAATGGTGTTCTCACCCAGTACGACATGATGGAGCAAGCAAAGTTGGACGCACACCATCGCATCCCAAAGTAAAATATCGTGCGTCGTTTGAACTGGTTAAGTTTATGCAGAAAGAATACGGTGTACCTATTATCAGTCCTTCGAAATCGAATATGAAGAATATGTACATTTGTACTAGCTGCTATCAATATGAAATAGATAGACTTCAAAATATTCAGACATCGCCCATTGACCAACAATTGTTTAATAATAGCAATGAGTCAAAAGAAGATTTTCAATTACGATCATCAATGGGTGTGGGTGGGTGTGGGGTGGATGTGTGTGGGTGGATGTTTGTGGGTAGATGTGTGTGGGTGGATGTTTGTGGGTAGATGTGTGTGGGTGGATGTTTGTGGGTAGATGTGTGTGGGTGGATGTTTGTGGGTAGATGTGTGTGGGTGGATGTTTGTGGGTAGATGTGTGTGGGTGGATGTTTGTGGGTAGATGTGTGT